CAGGAATGGACAACATTCACATTTCCTTCATGAATCCTCTTTTTCATGTGTCTCTTTTTGGGTTGCATAGCGTGTTTGGGTCTGAGCGCTAAGAGATTCATATTCCTACCTCCCACAGACTTCAATTATTTTTATTCTGAGAAGACTTGTAATATTGCCAACTCTTGCAATTTTATTGTAAATCTCACAAAATTTGGTATATTTCTTAAAGCCCCAGTTCCTGGAACCCTGTGATTTTTTGACACATGGCAACAAGCGTGGATTTCTTCACCTCCTTTGTGTATGGAAATTGAAGTCTAATAAAGCTTAGAAGCATTGACATAGTAAACTTATTTCCTGCAGGTCATCATGGCAGAGCTGGAGCTCATAGAAGTTAGAGATGGGAAAGATGTCCCGTGTTACACCTCCGGATGTTTTCCTCAGATTTCTGACCACTCAAGCATTAAGATCCTGATCCCACAAACAGCTGTGCATCCTCCGAATCTCACTTTGAATGGGAACAACCTTTGTCTGAAATACAGGCAGTGCGGTGTCGTATAGTCGCAGTGATAGCAGCAGTGTGCTGGCCACACTGGGGAGGCCATTGCTTCTGTGGATTGACCTTTGTGGTACGACTGTGCCTAAACTTAAGTAAATTTTCACAAATTGTGGTTTTGGAATGATCAGCTCCAATTGCTATGAATACTCTGGGTTTGAACTGGTCACTAACAAAAGAGGGGAAAGAGGGGGGAGGGCAGTCTCTGAAGGAAATGGGGAGCCAGAAGGATCCTCCCAGGACAGAGGGCAGGCTGCAGTAAATGGTAGAGTGCTGAGGAAGGGGTTGCTAGCAGGACTTTTCCATGCCTAAGAAATGCTGATTTCCTTTCTATCCTTTAAGCCTTTGGTGGAGATGTATGTTGGGCCAGTGTGGAAATGCACAGTCCCTACGAACTCCTTCACGTATACACTTTCACAGGCATTAAGCTTTCGTGGCCTGGGAAATCTGCCTCCCCTCCTGCTCTCATGTGGTTAGTATCTTCGAAGACATGGTAGGGCAGCTGTCTTTCCCCTGTTTGGGGAGCACAAGAATTAGCACACTGGCCTCCCGAACTTTAACATGGGGACCAGCTCTTAGGCTGTGCTAGGGCAAAACCTTTTTGCTGGGCCTGGTGTGCCAATATGATTGCTCTTAGCCTCTCACCTGTGAAATTTCCTGCTACGAGACAGCACAGGAATGGCCAGCTTTCCTGACTCTATCCCTAAATCTGGTCGTAATGGAGGGTTGCTTAGCCCCTTAGCAGGGGTTGCTTGGCATGTGCTGTGGAGACCTGAGGGGAGAAGGAGCTCCAGGATTGCTTCCCAGGTGGGGACTGACCACAGCTGCCCTTGAGCCCTACCATACTATTCGGGGCCTGTGGGGTCCTACGGTCGTCCAGCGATGCCTAGCTCAGCAGCTTCTACGCCAGTCCATATGCAAACCTATGGACCTGGCTTTGTCAGCAGCCTCTGCACCAGCTGGCTCTGTGACTGTTGTAGCCTCAGCTGAGGAGCCAAACACCAGCTGTTTAAAAGCTGTATAGGAGTCTGGCCAGCCTGGGGTAAAGGGGTCACTCAGCAATTTCTTTATTTCCATAGCAAAAAGCAGGATCCACATCTTTCCAGAAATACTTCAGCAACACTGTCCTCAAGAAGGAAGTCCAGAGTATCCCGTGTGTGTGTCACAGCAGCACTGTACATGGCAATGACTCACCCGAATACCCCACAGCACACGGGCACAGGCTGACACCCTCCGTCTCCCCTGGCACACAGCCCCAGAGCGGCAGGGACTTGGCAATGACAGGGCAAGGAGTGAGGGGCCGCCAGTGG